GCTGTTTATTAGGAAAGATTAACACAGATATGATCAATTGAGAAAAGTATTGTCACAAGGCGATGCATTTGTCCCATGAGACAAAAAATACTTAATTTTGATTTAAAAAATAATCAGGCATGGATGTTAGATTTGGCTAAGCAAGTTTATGTTCGACAAAGATGCAGATACAAATATGTTGGAATATAAAACACAAAATCTTAGGTTTTTCTGCAAAATCTGGAGACATTTGTTTATGGGTAACAGGAAATAAGTGGGGATTTGAGGAAAACCAATTCAGAGTTAAAAACTTAATGCCGTTCATATTCTACATATTTAAAGAAAACTGTCTAACAGTTTGAAAACTCTATAATTAGGAAACAAAACACTAGACGTTAATATCTTTGCTTAATTTATTCCAAAGATTCAAGTCTCACTGAATCAAACTGTATTTGATTGCAGCACTCTAACGCTCCGGTTTCAGTCGTTACACAAACTTCCTGCTCTGCCAATAATGACCAGCTCTGCCAGATGCAGTGGAATAATTTAAACCTTGCTGCAGCACTGCCTCTCAGTCCATCAATCCACCGATAAAAAAAATGCCTTGAAATCTCAAGGTGTGTTGAACAAATAGATTTTATAGTAAAGAGAACATTTCTTATCACAGCCTTTTTTTAAAATATTTATTCTCCTGTTATTCTGTACTGTAGAAATAATCCAGTCCAACCAATGGTGAGCTTTACCCCCAGCCCCTCTTTTGCAAATGACAAGAGCACTTCGATCAGTTCCAGGAGAGTCTGACGCATACGTATTTTTGCTTTAAATGTCAGCGAAAAGGTTAACAACTCTGTTTTATCATCATGGTTCAAGTCCTTGGATAAAAAAACTATCCTCACTTCTTTACAGTTTCAGTTGGATTTCTTGAGGAGTTTATACCTCACACCTTACATCTCAGTAAGCCATATTTAGGCTGAAATTAATTAAAGACAGGCTGGTGATGCAGTTTCAGTTGACAAAAACCCGAAAAATGAAATAACTTTGTCTATTCTGCTCCCTGCTGGACAACTCAAGCACTTGCAGCTTGCAGAAACTGCACCGTCTTCCCAAATCCACATTCACACACCCACACAATCATCTGCAGACACAAAGAGAGGCGTGTGCCGTGACTAATTGTCTGTCTTTACATTTCCTGCTAATTAGCGGCTGCCAATTTCTCATGGTGTTGCTTATTTAAAAGAGGGAGCCGTAGCTGCTATAATTACACGTTTAGTTAGAGAAAGTTCACATTTTGTCCCATAAATGGGATGATTTCAACCAGAGTTTGTATTAATTTCACATTTCTGTTGCGTTCCTCAGTATCAGTTTGTGACATTACATTTAACTATTATCATTTACTCAACAGTCATCATGATGGTTTTATCATCCTAAAATGAATTTAAGTGGAGTCTTTATTTCAAGAAAGCAGCTTTCTTGGAAGGAGTATTTTGCAATCACAAAATCAGCCTCAATATATCTTGCAGGACTAAGTTGTTGGTGTACATTATATCTTTTAAATTCTCTATTCTTTTTCGATGGGTTTTCTTGTAGATAAATTTGAACCAATTACCAGTTTGCGATCAACTGGATTTGATTGTGCTGCACAGCAGTTAATCTGAAAATTACTGCTTGATTGCTGGAAAAATAAGCACCACTCAATTAAATTGGACTGATTTAATAGGTCACATACTTTGCTACTGCCATTATTGCAAATCAGCTTGCTGCAGACGCTTCAACGATTATAAGGTGAGTTTGTTTTTTTCAAAAAGGTCTCATACGTTAGTCATGGCATTCCCAAACACAAAACTTTGGAGTTTAAGATAATCTCCAGAAAATACACAAAATTGATAGCTTAATTTTTGCTTTATTATAGAATTCAAGTCATAGGATGGTTAAGATTTATTTGTTTTCAATTAGTTTAGCTAATCTGCAACAGATTGGCAACCTGTCCAGGGTGTACCCTGCCTCTCGCCCAAAACATTCCCCACTAGAAAATGGATGGATGGATAGTTTAGCTGATCAGCAATCTTTCTCTGCTTCAACTTACATGATTCAAAAAATCAAGTAATGAAAGACCAATAAAATGGCAACCCAAAGAAAATCCCAAGCAGAGTTGAAAGCCTGGATGTTTGCTCACATGGTGCAAAGGTGCAGTTATAAATGTACAAAGATCCATTATGCAGCAGGTGTGTCAGTTGTGAAAGAAACTTTCACACTGTGAGATTATGTTGAAATCTCACAGGTTTATAGTGAAGCTTCCACTCGTTGCTTGCATTTGTATCCCTGAAGCCTATATTGGGATTGGATAAATCATAAACTGGAAAATCAAAATCCAACTTCTGCACTGCCTTAATTTCACTCCATAATCCCAAACAATAGGGTGCAAATTTGCCTAACACACATTTGCTACCTAGTGAACCTTGCAAAACGACTATGTCTCCTCGAGCCAAACCCTCGCCTTCCAGTCAAACCGAGTCAAGCTTTAATAGTAGAAGAATGAGTCTGCCTCGCTAAAAAGCTCCACCATCCAACAGACACCCACTGTTTCTTTATATAACACCTTTTTATAGCACCTATTTACCTTGAAACGATGTTGCCAAGTAACAGCCTCCCAATTGTGAGCTGTGTGCGCGTGGGAAGAGGGTGTGCATGTGGTGTCAGTGATGGATGTCTCGAGGTGCCATTATTGGCTGTAAAAGAGGTATTTTACAAGCAGCTGGCCAAATGACTTCACGTTCTTTTAACTACTGAGCTTCCCTGCTGCTGTCCAGCAGTTGAGGCAAGATTGTGGAATCCTAATTGCTCCCAAAAGGGTAAAACACCACAAGATGGGAGAAACTTTGTTTTTCATTCTTATGTATTTTTTCTTGCCTCTTTCTCTTCCTTTGTCGCTTTCCGACTCAGCAAGACCCGCTTAACTGAAATATGTACTACACTAATCCCTTTCTTAGTGAATGGGATTAATGTTTGATTCAAGAAGAGCCTTTTATCGATACCTCACTGTGCATAGGGCGACTTCATCCAGCTTGTTCTCAGACTGAAGGAGGAGGGGTGAGAGCATTAATGCGATAGATAGGAAAGATAGGAGTGGAAAGAGCTGGCTGTATTTTAGATCTTTAAAGGGTGAATTTAACAGCAATGCAGCAAAGTGAGTGAGTCACCCAGGTTAAAGATAATAAAGACGACATCTAAGAAATGCATTAGTGGTGGGACCAACTTGTATTTTTCTCCATCCTGTCCTTTGCTTGTTATTTAGCTGTTGTTCTCAAAGTACTTTCAGGATGGACAGTGTGGTAAAAACACATGCCTTAGATTGTTTCTCAAGCTTTTCAGTGTTCACCCTTTAAACTTGAGCATTTCAATTTATAAAGGTTCCATTATGTGCTGATCCACTGCAATGCTGATCCAGGATTATCCCAGAAGCAGCAACACATGACAGAATAACATTTCAGACGGGGTAAAGAAACAAACCCGGACGTTGAGGGTATCAACATATGAGCATGTTGCATTTTTCTAAACTGTTCACATTGTTCTTAAAGACCTGTTTGAGCAAACTGTATGAAATCTTTGGTCTTTATGAATGCAATAATTTACACCATAAGGAGTCCTGCACCGGCTTTTCCTTCTGTGTGGGTGTTGAATTTAGTGAAAAATTCAAATAGCTTCTGATCTCAGTGAACAGCATTGCAAATAATTAATTTAAATACAAAAGAGTCACGATTAAAAGCTTTCTCATTTGTGAAGTTTCAACCTTTCTTCATGTTTCCACCATCCAAAGAAAAGAGGGCCATCATATAACTTTAAATTAGATCTGAACGCATCTACATTTTTTATGCAAATAACTATGCAGTGGTTGACAAAAATGTTATATATAAATCTCATCACAGCAGGTATTGTGGAAAAGTTATCACAGCAGCTGAGAGGCGAGACAGAACTTTGGCTCCACCTGCTGGTTTCGGTTTTGCTAAATATTTTTCCAGTGTTGACGTCATTGCTCTGCGGAAATCCGTCATCAAAACCTCAAGCGGTAAGTTCACTGGAGTCGAACAAGCGTTCGGGTGAATTTCCTTCAAAATAATAATAATAAGGACAATAATGTTAATGATTTTTCCTTCCAAAACGTTTTTCTACAATGAAATTATACTAGAATCAATTGTGAGCTGAACCTGACTTCTTAAGTCATTGTTGTTAAAATACATTTTTAAAAAGCATACACATTCACCAGTGCTGTTCATATGCTGCCAAAACACTGTGGAAACCTTCCGAAGACCCCACGTCACATGGTTACAGGAGAAACCTGCGCATTTTCAGTAACAGGTCATATTCCAGGTGTCGCACCTGCAGCTGATGAGCTTCATTCTGTAAGTGTAACAGCATCGTTCTTACATTATGGTGGTTCCGCAAATATGTTATTTTTGGCCAGAGGGTCCTCCGCCCACTCACCATAATTTATTGAAAGTGTTCCGTGAAAAAAAAAACATGTTTTTTTCGCTCTTATTATGTAGACGGAAGCTAATTAACGAGCACACTTGTTAATTGCTGCATGAAAGAGTCGCGTGCATTATTACAGACCCCCAGACGCCTGTGCGGGTATAATGATTTTATTGACGTATTTTTGAAAATGTTACACTACATGCATAAAACAGGTCAGGCTCAGGTCTGAGAAACCCCACACTAAACAACAAGCTGTTAAAACTGCTATGTTGTGTGTTCCTGCAGGGAATATATAAAATGTAAATAGTTTTATTACAACATTGTGATATACTCACTTTATTTCTGTAAACTTTAGTGATAAAACATCAAAATCTAACTTCTCGTAAAGTGTTTATGCAATTATTTTTTGTCTTATGTCCCTGAAGGCACATTAAACAGCATTTCTGTATGATAATAAAAAATATATAGCTTTTGAACTGAATCACTACTTTTGCAATTTAATGTTTTATTTTGAAACACCAAACCGGATGTTGTTACATCGAACAGTGACTGCCTCTGGCAGCTTGACGCACTACTGACAGGAGTATTTTTCCAAGCGAGTGCGTCGAGGGTGCAGCCATTTCTCGCACTCCTTCCAGCTTCTCTCGCATTTCTTCAGACCCAAATCTCTCTCGGTGACGGAAACCGCCTGAGTAAAGGCAGGTCAGACTCCCCTCTTTGTTTACTGAGCTGGTTTCCTCGCCAGCTGAACCACGTCGGGATGGACCCAGCGAGCCGTTACCAAGTGGTGAGTTGTTCGCAGCGACATCCGATCAAAACAGTTGGATTAAATCGGCCTAACAACAAACAAGGCCTTGCGGAAAATACAGCATAAAATGGATAACGGCATGTTATCCTTTTCTAAACGCTTCTAACAGCGCTTCGACGTCCTATATCCTCGAAAATATTGTACTTTTGACATAATTTGTTTCAAACTGTCGAAAGAAACAGTTTTAGCTAGTCTTTAACAAACCATTTCCGCATTTTCGAGACTAACGTTCCCCACTTTGCCACCTAAAATTAACTGGATATATCTAAAGAGCTTTGATACGTTTCTTAAAAATGTAACGTGATGTTTAGTTATTTGTGTTTATTGTTAAAACACGGAGCTATGTATCTATCTATCTCAAAGTTAGCTTTGCGGTTTAGGATTCCAATTCGTTAGCATGCTAGCTAAAATGTCATTTCTGAAGCTTCCGAGAAGAGGCGATAAGATCTTAAAATGGGAAACGCGTTGTGTGCTACGAACCACGGAGAACTATTTGATAAGGCACAGGGTTATTTTTCAGTTCCCTTCTACTTTCATTAAAAAAAAAGTGAGGTGAGGGTAACCAGGTTATTTCAAAACCTTTGCTTAGGTGCCCTAGTATCACTTTAAATGAGGTCTACCTTGTTAACCGCAGTATCTTGCTTTGAAATTACACAGTGCAGATGTGAAAATGCAGCAAGAAATGCACCGATCAGGCAGTTTTATTTTTTATTTTGCTGTGAAGTTTGAAGCTCACAAAGCGATTACTCGCCCAACAAAGGCTAAGATCAGATACTTAAAAGCACAGCTTTTAGTGGAAGTGAATTGCAACAAGTTCAAGTTGTTGCTTAATATATTCACAAGATGTAGCAACTTAATTGAATCTTTTTTGGAGTTTGCAAATAAGAATGGAAACAAAGCTGCAAAAGCTACTATGCAGAAAATGCACTTGATATCAACTAACTTTACAGTTGATATCTCTAATATGCACTTCCACAGAGGTAATAATTATGCACTCATTATTGGAGCTGGAACTCCAACTAAAAGCAGTGAACTAAGCCCTCGGAGGAGATTTCAAATGTCAAACGGACACGTTTTGTTTTCGTGTCCCGATACCTGCAGCCGTGCATGTGGGTGTTTGGACTGATAATCCTTGCAGATTCCGGTGTGACCCCTGCAGCGAGGACTCGCTCTAACGTTTCATGACCAAACAAAGCCAGGGGGTTGCAACAGCCTCTCATATTCCAGTAATAACGCAACAGAAACGCTGGTCAGATTGTGCTTTGTTGGGGTTCACTTGTACTCCCCACCACATCCCGTCCCTCCTGTTAAGTATTTGTTTGGTTTCAGTTGGTTTTAGACACATGAGGAGGCTTGTGGCTATGCTGTTTAATATCTTATGTAACCCCTCCAGCCCCTCCTCCCAACATAAGGCTTTGTCCTTGATTCCTGGCCAGACGTTGGCCGATCATTCACTCGCCGATTAATGGAACTATGTCTGAAAATAAATATCTCTACGTATTTACTCACGGAAGAAGTAAATCATGGTTTTTTCAACACGACTGCATTTCTTTTAAAAGCTGCTCGGATATTAGTCACAGCTGCGATAAAAATGGTGCTTCCCCAATATGCAGAGGTGGTAAACCACAGGCCTGCCATTTGTTACTTTGTGGAAAAACTTCAAAATGGAGAATTCACCTCTTTAATTGTTTTTCCTGTCACACCATCAAGATTGTGGTTGAAACTTCAGCACTTAGAGTGACAACTTAAAGAGTTCCCAGAACTCTCTGAGGTTTCACTTGATGTAGGAATTTGAAGACTCGACAGGCCGGACCGGTTCGGCCGCTTTCATTTTTCCGGCGCAGCGACAGCAAGAGGTAGATGTGTGTGTCGGCTTGATTCACTGGCGACGGAGGAGACGGGACGCGGGCGGTGGAGAGGGCGCTGGCCTTGGCTCAGGTCTTTGCTCCCTGAGCGCCCTTCTAGTTAATCTTTGGTTTATGTCAGCAGTTTGTTTTGCGATTATCTGCGGCTTGAAATGACGTCCTCAAAGCCAGATGTGAGTCGACCGACAGCAATGATAATCTTTAGCCTCTTGTGGAGCAGAAACCTTTTCCTCTCTAGAGTAGTTTGGTAATCTCCCTCCTGGTTGTTGACCTTCCAGATTCCCATAACGCCCCGGTCGCCTCTCTGTAATTTCAGAAGGTGTTTGGCTCTCAACTCTGACAGAAAATTAATAGACTTAAGTCAGCAGACGACTCTTGGATGCAGAAGCAAGCTTCATTCACTGATTAACTTCATGCGGTTCAGTTTCCGTCGTACCTGCATTTCTGGAGATGAACATTCTGTTCTGTAACTCATTTGTTTTTTGTTTTTTTTGTATTTTTGTAAAAAGATGTTGCCTAAACATGTACAAAGTGTTTAAAATGGAAACAAAGCTTTTATTTCATATTTTAAAATGAGTATTTGAGTTAAAAAGACAGTCAGACTTGGTTGTGTTAAAAGGAAGTATAATGTATTTCACTGTAATGTCATTCACAAAAAGAATAATAAATTTAAGTGCCTGGAAACAGAATATCTAGACCAGGGTTGTCCAAAGTGTGGCCCGAGGGCCATTTGTGGCCTTTGACATGATGTTGTTCAGCCCCTGAATGTCAGTTATCCAACAAAGCAGAAAACAATGGATTCTGCCCAATTTTTTAAATTTAATTTTATTTTATATATGTATTTAAATGACAAAACACTGACACACTTTTTGTTTATTGGATTTGGCAGTTATACTGATTTTATTTTAAAAAATTGTTTGTTGTTGAGCAGGTAGAAGTGAAAAATAATAACAGCACAGTAGACAAATATTTGCGTTTTTATTTCAATAAAAAATGGAGTTTGTTTTGAAGCCACAGCCATGGCCACTTGCAGCTTAGTAGAACTCATGGATATACAGAGTTAATATAAACACGATATAATTTCAAAGTAAACAATAATAAGAAAAAAACATTTAGTTTTGTGGGAGTGAGCATTCAGAACCGGGTCGTTCAGCAGGGCGATGACCCCAACCGCAGCCACAAGTCTATAACAGGATGTTAGGATCAGGGTGTTTATAAGAGCCAAAGTTTAGAACAATAACCTGATTCAGCTCTGTATGTAAAAACCAAATTATTGCCTCCAGGCGGTTGCCGACGAGTTAAAAACAGTCCCGTGTTGTTGCTAAAATACTATCTGGTGCTGCGCTGCTAAGTCCACCAAGCATCCTGGCGAAGAGCGAGGGTCATCTGGAGCAGCTGCAGATGATCAGATGATGGACTCGCACCGGCAACTCTATAACCTGGTTTTCTTTTGCAGTTGCACAATGAGGAAGATTCTTCAGAGACTTCCAGCGTAGAGCAGCAGCCCTGCACCTCTGCATCAGCCAGAGCCGACGCGTCCGGCCCGGACCAGAGGGAGTCTGAGGCCAGCGCGGCTCCGGCCCCCTCAGCGGGGGAGGCTGATGCGCCCCCGCCTCCGTACGCCTCCATCGACCTGGGGGCGACCGCCGCGGCACCTGGTACCGCTTTTCCATTCTATTTTAGAGCTTCTCTAAATGTCTTCCCAGGTTGTGTGTTTTCAGCTTACAGAGGGTCTAATTTTTTGCGGTTTTCTGACCGTTGAGTCACTGCAATTTCTTACATTGCCTCACCACTTTATTGTGGTTTCAGGCTCTTCCCTCTGTTTTCATCAACCCAGGCTTCTTGTCGTCTGCTGTTTTCACAGAATCCAGCTTCCAAGGCGACTTCCCCGTTCCTCCACCCTACAGTGTCGCCACGTCACTGCCAACCTATGATGAAGCAGAGAAGGCTAAAGCAGCCGCGCTGGCGGCCTCCGCCCTGGAGGTGTTGCCCCGGGTAACAAGCAAGATATTTGAGGGAAACATTCCTCGAACTAAGACGAACTGCAAACAAGACTTTTTTTTTCTTTTTCCACAAAGTTCATGATTACAACATTATTAAGCCATACTACATACTAAGTCTTGTAATATCATGACTTTTTTTCTCACAATTTAATGACTTTCATACAACTGACTTTATTTGTGTCATTTTATGCCACTGTTCTTGAAATGTTACTTAAAACAATATTCTGTCATACAGGATATTATTTTAGGAAGTAACGATATCAAGTTAAACACCACATCCCTGACAGACACAGTTTCAATAAAACTGTGTCGTGTCAGCAGACTGAAATGGGGGCAAAGACGGTGAAGAAGGGCAAACATGTTTTGCAATGCATGTATTGATTTTTTTAAATTTTTTTTTTAGTGGGGGCACTTTCTGTGTCAAATTTTCTCTCCCATTTGCCTGAATTTTTAAATTTTGTTTGTTTGTTTCCAAAAGGACGATGACTTCCCCCCAAGAGACGACTTCAGCGACGCTGATCAGCTCAGAGTCGGGAATGACGGGATCTTCATGTTGGCCTTCTTCAGTGAGTTTTCCATGGAAACGAACAAACAAACAAAAAAAAACCCTAAACTGTTTGCCACAAAAGAGCACCAATGATGTGTTTATGCCTCCAGTGGCCTTTCTCTTCAACTGGATTGGCTTCTGTCTGTCGTTCTGTCTGACCAATACCATCGCTGGACGCTACGGTGCCATCTGTGGCTTCGGCCTCTCGCTCATTAAGTGGATCCTCATCGTCAGGGTGTGTTAAATTCAAAATAAGGTTTTATTATTATTTTTTTTTTTTCGGGAGGTTGTCGAATGTGTTTTGAACTTTTCTCGGTTTGTACAGTTCTCAGACTACTTCACTGGCTACTTTAACGGCCAGTACTGGCTCTGGTGGATCTTCCTGTTGCTAGGTCAGTATTTTCATCGTCTCAGTCGAGGGTAACGGTGAAAAAGCAGGTTAAGAAAAGACACTAACAAATCTTCTCTATTCAGGCCTCCTGCTGTTCTTCAGAGGATTTGTGAACTACCTAAAAGTACGCAACATGTCAGAAAACATGGCCACATCGCACAGAACACGCCTTTTCTTCCTATACTGAAAGTAAGCTCAGAAGAAAAAGCAAACCTGCCACTTTTGTTTGACTAAAGTGCGCCCTCTGCTGGATTAAAAGACAAACTACAGGACTGATGTGTTTGTGGTGCTCTCTTCCTCCAGGTTTCCACGCCGCCAGCATTCCTTTCCAGCGCAGTTCCTTCCCTCGCCCTCGCATGACCTGACAGAGGAGCCCGACAGAAACAAGAGGAAGCAGGGAAGGAATGAAGAAATGTTACTGGTTTAATCCATCTTTTCTAGAACAATTCGACCCACCCTAAAGAAAGTCTGCGCTTCTGAACTGAGCCCAAAAAAAAAAAAGATGAATTTTCATTCTCTCCTCCAAATCCGCCTTTTTTTAAATTTTTGTTTTTTTTGGCTTTTGTCGGGCTTACTCGTCGTGTTTCACAAAGCACAATGGTGAAAACAATCTCGCAAAAATGAAGGAGTTTATTCAAACGAATTCAATCTAACAATTTAGTTTTGCATATTCAGTGTTAACAAGAGTTCCTTTTTTCCGTACCTCTGTTGTCCACAGAAAAGGTGGGTGTCAAACAGCCTGAACTAGTCTTACTTTAACTGTGACGTAGCATTGCTTTACAGAAAAACCAATCCAGAAATGTGGAGCCCGGAATGCACCACCTGTAACGAGAACAAACCTCCGTTTGGATAAACAGTTTTCTTCACTTTAAAGTAGATTCAAGTTCCAAAGCTTTAGGACTTGATTTCACAGCATACGCCAAGTTAATCTCAACTCTTATGCTTCAAAACACTCTTTTTGTCTGAAGTCGTCCATACTTTTATTCTTGAGAACATGTAAGATAAAAAGAGCTAATCAATGACGTCTATTTTTGGATAAAACAGTGTTTGAAGCTGCACAAGGTCTCATCAGGTCAGCTGCAACCCCTCGTTCTGGTGCTGTGGATGGGGAAGTGTGTTCACACACACAGTGCTTTGCTTTTTTTTCCCCCTGTTGGTTTTATTTCAAAAACGCTCTTTGGAGGGCGACAGTCTTATGCAATTTAGATGTAATGAATTTTAGTTATCGTGGCTGTAAGGTTGTGCGTTATTAAAGTAGATTTAGTCGATTCGTTTAACCACCGCAGGCCGGTCCAATTAAAAGAACCAGAACTTCGCGAAGAAACGCCGAGCTGACTTGTTCTGCGAGACGCAGACGGATCGCGCTTCTAGATTCGGTTTGGGTGTTAATAACTTTTTCTTTCCTGTTTGGAGTGGAGACGAGGCGCGGCTTTGTTAAATAAAAGAACAGCAGCAGGAGTTGAGGTGATCCAGGAGCGTGACGGCGAGGGTTGGCGTTCGGTCGGGTTTGACTGGAGCCTGAGAAGATGAAACGGAACCTCATTAGAAGAGAATAAAGTTTTTATTTTATTTTTTTTGTTATTAAATGAAACGTGTATATACAAGCTTATGCCGTTTTATAATATTTGCACTTTGAAGTTCTGAGATTTGTGAATCTCCTAAACTTGATGTGGGGGTAGAAAACATACATTGATCTTAGCCATCCGAGCTTTTTTTTTTTTTTTAAACTGGAATTCTTAATCATCTGCCTTTTGCACTTATTTGTCAAAAATAATATTTATATGTCTTGTTTCATTGCTTTTAACCTAAACTGTGACAGCTTGAGAATTGCCAAACCTTTTTTTTTTATTATTATTATTTTGTTTTCAAAAATTGACAGATCATATCTTCATCCAGCCTCCTTCAGCAATATCAAGGTCTTTCAGTGAATTCGAGCTGTACTGCATGATTTACCCTCCTGAACTAGTTTGGCTGGGTAACGTTAGGATTAATCTGCAAATCCATGTTTGTCTTTGTAAATATGGTAAGTAAGGGGTGTTATTTCTCTGAGGCGAGACTCAGAAAATCATCTCAAGCAGTTGGTATGCATTTACTATAACTGGAAATAAAATGACAGCTCTTGCAAAAAAAAACAAAATGCCAATAAAGTTCAAAAGCCTGCCACTCATATGTGTTTAATTATGTTTGTACAGGTCTGAAAGTCACTGCACCTTTTTATATTATGTTTTTCCAGTCAAACTCATAGACATTCATACTTTGGTTCTGGGGAGAAGTTTCTGATGTGTGTTGCTGATCTTTTTGAACACAGACGACATTTTCTGGCGACTGAGGGAATCATTGTCTTGTAAGTCAAATCCAAGCTTCTGTATTTCTTAAATATTCCCCACAATGGCCAACCTCTCTTCCTGATGAGTAAAACAAGATGTCTCCACTTGGTGTCTTACCCAAGGATTTGCTACATGGTGTCTAAGTTAAACTCTTTCAGTGCACAGGATCAGGTTTCATTTTTGTTCTACCCTCAACTAAACAAAGCTATAAAGCGACAAGCAGAATATGCGTTAGTAGATTTCCTGTCTCTTTTTTGAGAGTTATAAAGAAAGCCTTCAGTAACTAAATGGTTTTAAAGCTCCCGTTTTCTCTTTGTCATTGTTGCAAAATGACTCGTTTCACCACTAGATGGAGTCAAAACACTTATTCACTTCCAACACCTTAATAAATTAGTTCCTTCTGAAAGCTTTATTGTGGTAGAAACATCCCCCTTTTATATTGATAGTATTGCCAATATGTGAGCAATTTTAGTTCTGTTTTCATTTTTGTTTAATTTTTAGTGCGTCCCAACGACTGATTCCAGTGGCAGATGCTGGGACTCCTGAACCAGCTAGAACAGTGTTTTAAGTGGTACAAGGCTCCATTTCGGCCCCTCCTTGGTGCCCTTTGTTGTAGGTCCTGTGGTCAAGCACCAGTACTTGAGGACACCTATTATCACTTCTGCCTTCCCTCTAAACTCCTAAATGTTTGGTTTTGTGGGGACAAAACAGGGGACATGAAAAAAAAGCTTAGTGAAGAAAACAAGATTACAGCTTTGATGTCTGCTGTCAGGAGTAATATTTACCTTTACTAAATACTTTATTTTCAGTAAAATAAAGTATCTTATTAAAAATGGATATTTCATTAAAAAAATAAAAGTTGCATTTGTTTTGTGTGTATTCAAACAATAACATTCCATAACTGATTTAAAAAAGAAAACAATTTATTTTGTTAATTCAAGTGAATTGTTGAAAAAAAATGACATATTTTGTGGATTAAATAGACTGTATATTAAGCTGAATAAAATTTTATTATAATCTAGTAAAACAAAACCAATTCTGATGACAAGATTCCAACAAAATCTATTTTAGACAAACCAAAGTCAAAATGAACACTGCAGTTTTAAGCAGAAGTTACCTTTCACCACAAGAGGGCAGTATTTACACACTTTCCCATAATCAGTTCAATTCAAACATACTTTATCAAACAAGCCAACCTAAAGGTAACTCATATCAAAGATTTCCAACAGCAGTTGGTGCTGCAGTGAAATTGCAGAGGCCTCTGACTGCAGACGTCTGCTGTAGGCTTATCTTAAACCTATCATGACACGCTAACAGGAGTGATATTTCAATTGAGGACAAATAAGTGTGTTAAGTCATTTAAGGCTGAACAACTTGCATGACTTTGCAAGTTGTTATATTCTTGATCATAATCGATCATGACGAACCAAAATGGCGGTTGTAGAGGACGACTGGATTTGAAGTCCTCAGCCTCTCACTTGTGTTTCATTCCAAATGTTTTGACCAGGACATGTTTGTCTTGCACATATTGACGTCTGGACTTGAGGAAAAGCAGAACAAAAGTAAATAAATCAGACTTTCATAGATGGAAGCTACTTATTTTCAGTAAAATGCTGACATTGCTCTGATGTTGCTCTTCTCTTCTGGTTTGAACTATGAAGCTCTATTTGATACATGTCAGCACTTTTTATATATATATATATTAAAAAAATAAATACTTTCATACTCCTGACAGCAGACATCAAAACTTGTAGAGACAAAAGTGTGTTATTTAAGCATTAGAAAATGTTTGGATCTCATAGAAAAAGAACAGAAAAGTCAATTTACGTTGCTCTCCTGCCGTCTGGGCCTCATTCTAGCCTTTTTGAGGGCCCGAATGGCGGGACCGTTTACATAACTCTTCCGGTTTGCAGACATTCCCCAACGAAGTTCTCTCCTCCTACCGACCTCATTCCTCTTCCAAGCTTTCCCCCGCTCTATCCCAGTTCATCTCGTTTTCTTCGTCCTGACCAGGTGGAAGCCTTTGAGGAGGGCCCACAGCGAACCCTGCCTGACATGCGCAGAGAAAAAATAAAAAATGCAGGGAACTGCGCTGACAGTCTCTGTCAGCAGCATATTTGCAGCCCTCAGCTGCATAGTCACTGCTCAGCCTGTCCATGTGTCAGCTTTCCTGTGTTTTTGCACTCTATTTTTGTACATTTTCGCATAAAGTGTTGATTTTATTGCTAGGTGTGGCACCAACACAAGAAACCACATGGTAACTTGGTCATGTTGTAAAGCTAACTTGTTCTTCTGGGGGTTTTAAAATACAATCTAGCTTTTCAGTGTTTCAAAGGTTCCTCAGTGTTTTAATATTGATATTGACTTTGATATTCCTCTAAACACAATTTTACAATCGCAAAATTGAAAATCAAGCCTCTTATGTCATGTGGATTTTCCTTGAAAGCATGTAGTTGAAATCCAGAACTTCTAGCAATTCACAGTCCAGGTTCTGACCACTTACTGTACCAAATGTCGTCCAAAAAAAAGGACATCTTGGGAAAGTTGATCAAATTCCAGGTGAACATTCCACATGTGACATTTTTATGTTTTGCCCAACTTTCATCTTGATATAAATATTTTTTGTAATCAATAACAATGGTTGTAGAAAACAACAAGAAGCGCACATCAAACATGTTTGTCGATGTTCCTTTTACTTTTGGCCACTGAAGACAAAATATTGTGTGACGCTCTACCAAATGACCAACAACGTCTCAGCGCGCTCGTCACGTGGTTTTCATCGAACACGCCCCCTCTTTCCTCGGCACGCGCCTGGTTCTGACGTCCCATCCAGGTAGGACTAAATGAATGTTTTACCTTCATGAACTAAGCTGCTTTTCTGTCTTCTCTGGCTGCTGGTTCAGTGGGTTTTGCACATAGTTCTGGTTTTGTTGGAAACAGCAGAGTTTGGGTTTTAATCTGATTGCTAGCTTGTGTGGGTCAGAGCGTGTTGCTTCGTGATTTCCAAGCCTGACTCTAATTAGCCGCTAACTAGAGTCCAATTATGTTTGGTTTTATTTTGCGTAAAGCTGCTTAGTAAATATTGTCCCTTGACTGATCTGGTTAGTAGAAGTGCTGCTTGAGCCAATGGAGAAGAAACGATTCATTTAAAAACTAGAAAAAAAAACACAAATTGGCGTGTTTCCATGAAACACTGCAATACCTATGCCATGCCTATTGGTGGCGCTGTAATGCCACACAGTTTCTGACAGACATAATTTTCTTTGTAGATTCTATTTTAGATGAAACTTTAGCAGCAACAACAGAGTATTAGGGCTACACTGAAATAAAATTAATAAATAAAATAAACAAACAAACAAAAAAAGACGAGTAAACCGTGAATGTTCTTGCAGCCTACAGAGATTTTTACGTAAACTAAAGTGTATGTTTAAATCTGAGCAATATATGCACAATCTCCTCACATTTTAAATTTGCAATAATTGTTCTTTTTTTATATATAGTTTATATAAGATTAGGCTTTCATACCTAGTTTGAGGAGTTGGCCTATTTAACCAAATCTATTGACTTTCTGTTTCTACTGAGACAGAAAGTCAGTGGGTGGAAAACTTTAATGGTGACCGTGTTTATCAAAGACTTGTGGTTTGATGGTTGCTTGTTGAAGCTCAAAATAACCCACTGGAAAGCAACCACATATTTACAAGTATTAGTAATAATAAATGAAAGATCTGATTGGTAAAACCTATCAAGTTTCAGTGTATCATAGCTATCAATCTGCATTATTTTAACTAATGATTCCATGACCACACGGCTGTATTTTTAAAGTTATTAGTTTGGTTGATTTGGATTTATTTTTATAACCTAGAGAGCTAAAAGGTGAAGTTTGCAACAAGCTCGTAGATGTGCAGCATGGAGTCCTTCGCTGACTTGTAACAGCAGTCACCCAGACGACAGCAAAGCTTCTTAACCCCGTGGCAGTAAGAGAGGAACTATGTAATCTCTTTGGCACAAGGCAGCGCTGCTTTCAAGTGGGCAAGAAACACTGTGTTGCGGAAGAACAGAATAGCTCTTTTGTTCCGCTTTCGGCGTTCACATGCACGTACACGCCTCCATTCAGGAGTCGCAACAAACAGCCGGGTCTTGAGGCGTCTTTGGTTCAGACAGGAATAAAAGGGTTTGGAGCAACTTTTTAGGATGCATGTCTTGATATTTCACAAGGATTGGAAGCACACACAACCTACGTACATGTTGTTTACATGCAAAATGATGTGAGACTTAGTAGGAGATGGTTAACAGGACGTTAACCTAAAGGGAATTTATTTGTAAGATGGGTTTCCTCAACCACATTTTTAATCTGTCAGATTAAAAATGTCTGTTTAATCTGACAGACATTCAGATTCAGATTAAACAGATGAACTGTTTAATCTGACCCTAGAACTGATCTTTGAGGGTGAATTATTCTGTAGTGATATTTCTCAAAAGGAAAAGGGAGTTTACTTTCACTTTTTCCTGGAATTGACTGAACCTTTTGTGCATTGTTTGGCAAATCAAAGACACAGTAAATTTAGAGGTGACTAAAAATGGATCCACGCGATCTCTCTTTTTTTTTTTTTTTTTGCAATTGGTTTTGCAATGACTTCAATTCAAAAATTCAATCTTGTTTCTACTGAAAATATCATACTAGATCATAAGTTAGTACTTTAGTTACAAAACTAACCCACAAACAGCTAATGGTGTCTACAGGACATGATTGGTCATGTAAGAAGAAAAGCATAAGTTCTGTTTGAAGTCAGTTTTTCTGATTTTGAACATAATAGAAGGAAAGTAGATCATACAACTTTTA